CACGCAGTACATGGTACACAGCGCTAGGCGGCGAAGGCTCTCCCACACTGGAGAACTCTGGATCGCTAAAGGTAGGTCCACCTGTTGGGGTCGAGCCAGCGAATGCAGGAGAGGCGCCATCAAAGGAAGCCTGTGAGACCTGCCTGAGCGGATGCTCTGGCCTGGCAGCCATGTGGGGTGCGTGGCTGGCAGACCTTATTGGACCTCTTGGCCGGTTGAGTGATGCCGGTGTGGGCGTATCTGGAGTGGCGCTGGACTTCTGGCGTTCATGGCCCGCGAAGGAGTGATGGGAGAATAGCTTTGGTCTGCGTTCCGGGATCACGGTGGAAGGAGGCATGTCGGCATGTTCATAGTCGCGTGAGCTTGGGTTCTCTTCCGACTGGAAATGGCCTGCTGCTTCCTGGTAGGTGGCTGCATGCGGGCTTCCCTCGTTTCCCATGGCAGTAAAACTAGTCTTCTGGCCCCATGGCACGTTCTCGATGTCAGACGCATCCGCTGGGACTGCCAAGGTGGCTCTTTCCGCTCCATAGTGGTCGCGCATGATGGACGTTACCGCCGTCCACCAAGCAGCGAGGCCGGGCTCGGCACCCAGGCGCAGTACGATGTCGTAAAGATTGGGACTCGGGAATCGCGGGTCTTCTGCATCTGGGCTCTGGTAGTTCCTTCCTCCCGGGGCGAAGGGCGTGGTTGATGCGGCGGGGGTGCTGCTCTCGGAGGCGATGCGCTCTTGCGGGGTCGCGTACTCTCGCGACTGCCCCGCTGCTACCGTGGGCGATAGGCTGGTGAAGGGCATGTGGAATGCCGAAGCCCATCGTGGCGTGTTTGGGACGGAAGGGAAAGGGTACGACGGCGTTCGAACGGCATGGGTGGCGGCGGGCGTGGGTGGCATGCTGCCGCGAATGGTCCTCGCAGACTCGGTCGATTCGGTCGACGTGGTCAGGCCCGTAGGGAGCGGCGGGTTGGGGCTCGGGGTTGGACTGATAAAGGCGCCCTCGAGGGTGGGCGAGATGCCCGGCATGGGTTCCTCCTTGATGGGCGATATGCGGCGGGAGCCCAGCGCGACAGCGGCATTGTTGGACGAGCTCCGCATGCGCGCCCGCTGCTGTTGCTGCAGCATCTTCAGCTGCAGGCCGCGCAGGCGCTCCACCTCCATCTCGTCGGGCGAGGCCTCGCTCAGTGGCGCTTCTTCCGCGGCCAGCTCCTCGGCACCAGCGCCTTCGTCCTCGTCGCCCGGCTGGCTCTCTGCCTCGCTCAGTTCGCTGTCGGTGGCGGCATCGTCGCGGGGGTTGCTCGGGGTCCGGGTTCCGGGCGAGGGCTGCGAAGTCTGCGACTGATATGTCTTCGCGTCGCTGGCGGCCAGTCTCTGCAGTGGCGGGCGCGTCGTGGGTGGCGGCGCAGTCTCTCTCTTTGAATTAGGAGAGGATGACGGGGCCTTTGTCATTATTGCATTCCCCAGTCTCCCACAGAACGCGCAGGTGGTGTCGTGATGGGGTCGAGGCAGCGGCGGGCATAGATGGGATGGTGAGCTATGACGTCGCGGAGTGTGCTCCTGGCAAGAATGGACGGTGAAGCGGCCTCAGCACATGGACAGGTCAACAACACAACTTAATGGCCACCAGTGGTTTCGCGCTGTCAGACTGCCAGCAGAGGCCGAATCCCACCGGAGCGCAGGAACAAGCTGGGAGTGCTTGGTGAGTAAGAATCAGGTGGTGGGCTCATGCCAGGATCAGGAGCAGGATAGCCTCGCGCCCGTGGGCTTCAACACACGCCCGCATACACTTACAGAAACGTCGAGGCCGCGCACTGCACGCGCTGGACAAAAGCAGTTTGGATGGATCGTGGATCGCGTAAACGATGTGTATTGGCGCGAGGGACCGTCTTGCTCCTGTCTCATTACAGCCGCCCGCTTGGACGAAATTGACTGTTGGCTGCGAGCCGCTAGATCACGGCCAGCGACGTCATCAGGGTTTCTCGATACTCCAGCCGCGCCTACGCCGATCTGGAAACCACCAGCGACGCCCAACCTCCACAGCCCGCACTCACCGCACCGCATTCTCCCTCTCCGTTGTCTCTTCGTTGTCTCTACATCGTGATGCTATCTTCACCACCCATCCCCGTCGACCGCTCTTGGGGCGCTCGACATGGCGTCAACTACTATTTTAGCCATGGCCAACGGGATGCCACGTTTCCCCATTGGATGGGTACCCCTGCACATTTCCAAGACGGTTTCCCATGACGTCCCAACCCGGCTAGCGCACGCAGCTTTCCTTCCGGAAGCCTCAGAGACGCTCGACGCACCACCGTTCTCGACACTACTCAAGAGCCTCACTAGCGACGCTGCTGTCCCTCTCTCGATTGACGTGTTGAATACGCTATCCCGCAAATTGGGCCGTCCTGTCACGTCTCGGCCCGAATCTGCGCCTGCCTTCAAATAGCCCATGGAGCCACTTGTGGTGTCATTATACTCGAGGGCGGACCATGCGGCTGGATTTTGCAGTATACCAGAGTACACTAGGAAGCCTCAGCGGCTTTGGCGCTTCCATTCTTCTAGCTCCTGTCAAATGCGGCGGGGCGGAATCCCAAGACAACGTGCATGGTAACAATGTGCCGAGCAGCTGCCATGCGAGACACGCTGCGCTCCAAACTTTAACAATCTCTACCCGTCAGCTGGCGGGTACCTGCCTCACGTGCGAACACCACGGCTGACAGGTACCCACTGCCATGCCCGCGTCACCCTCGGCAGAGGTATCGTGAGATCAGACAATGCCTGCTCGCAGCCCTGTACTCGCAATCTATCTTCATCCGCGACTTACCGCGCTTCCGTTCCGACGCTCGGAACCACTACCCCTACCAATCATCATCCAGAAGTCTTCGAACGGGTACCTTACATTGCCCATTACTACCCAATGCAGATCTCCTGGCAATCTCAATATCGAGACGCCACAGCCGTCTTCGGTGAGGATGATCTTTGTGCAAACCGTTATCCAGGGTCCGCGGAGCCCTACCTTTGGAACAACCACGGTACGCAATCGCCGATCAGATCGTGATGATCGCCACCCCAATGACGCGAACATGAACGTTTGAGCCGCGCGTAGCCTATCCGTGCGAGATCTGGCATCTCTCCATGAAGAACTATGATTATTACTGCAGCATGAGCTGTTCCGCAAGTTTAATGGCATGCGAATAAAGGACCATCTAGATTTTACAAATACCATCTGCCCGCGCACCAGCATCGGATTTAACCTTACAGCACAGACCACGTGAGAGTGTCTCGCCATTACCTCCAGGGCTGCGCCAGTACACCGCGAACATGAACAACAACGCTCGCCATAGATGATATCTCTCAAATCAAAGGTCCAGCTACTATACGATCTAGCAAAATTCACTTTTGCGTCACCGGAACGTAAGCGTGTAGGAAAGCCAAGCGAATGACAAATACATCTACTACTAAATTTCCAGCAAGCCTCAAACACACCGACAAGACAACACCGCTCATTCAACAACCATCAATGAAACGACCGCAAACCACATTGATCTAGACACTTCCAGCGCTTTGAGCATCCTCGTCTTTTCCAACACCTCTGCGAGTGTTGGCGGTCCCCTCACCACTTCCAGCACACAGGCTCAAGATCATGTTCCCCTTGAACTCACCCCAACACTGTTTCGTCGGCTCATGCTCCCTCGTCCTGTCGAAGTTGTAGATATCGCGACACTCCCCTTCGCAATCAATCTCCGGACACGTATTCTTGATACCCGCCTCAGGCTCGAACTTCAAAGTTAGCCCGCCCTGGTACCCGGGACACTGATCCGTCTTGGCCTTGTAGTCCGCATCCGTGGCAGTGAAATCGGTGCCGTTGTGCTTAGCCGGTTGACCGCAGTCCAAAAGCGAGACGTCATACCAGAGTAGAGGGTATGGCTGTGGAGCTTTGGGGTTGTAGGTAAGGGCGTATTCGAATTGTGTGGTGTCTTTATTGCCAGGTTTGTCTGCCCAGGATATCTTGATTGAGATTCCTTGACCCCATAGTTTGTCGGTGTCTGGGTTGTTACCTTTGATGTTGTCCGGATCGGGGGATACCCACGTGCTACGGAAGCCTTCGCTGTATGTCTCGCCAGGAGCGATGGGGTATACGACTTGCTCTTCTGGTGTGCTATAGGTCGTATTGCTTCCGTTCAGTCGGAATCCGCCGATGGTGTTGATGTTGACGGGAACGGAACACTTGTTCACGACGATGGCATTACCGAATTCGCAGCCCGTATCCGGCGTATTCACAGGGCCGTAGTCGAGAGTTTCGTGAGGCTGGGGTGCGGCTTTGGTAGCAGTTGGCGATCCACCCGCAGCCTGACCCGATCCAGCCAGCGGAGTCACCACATGAGACGCACCACTTGGAGGAAAACCAGGAAGTACACCAGCTGGTGCCATGGAGGATATCGCTTCGAACGCTGAACTCATAGCCATCGTTCCTTCGATCGCCGAGCCCGATCCCATAGGCGTCGCATTGCTGAGGTTGATCAAGTTCACAAGGAAATAGGATGCTAGCATGACTGAGAAGCAGATTTCGTTGAAGGTGAAGTGGTCGAGTCCCAAAATCATCGTGGCCGTTTAATGTGGAGGACGAATAGTATCGGGCTATGAGTATTTGATCGTCTGCGTAGTGTAGATAAATATTGATAGCGAAGAGTGCAGTGTTTTGCATGTAGGAGTAGATCTGAGGGGCAATGGTGTATGTAGGAAGTTGAAAGCAGCGAGAGAAGTTGAAATATATTTACTCTTCCCGCCATGAGTCTTCGAATATGACTTGGACTGATGTAGAAAGTGACTGGCGTTGACAGATACCGAACTGACTCCTATTGTGGCAACGTTTGGCTATGAATCGACACTTTACATGTATGTAAGAGTCATGAACATGGGCTGGTATAGCATCAGATCTCTCTTCCATCCCGTATCCCATCCAAACCCGCATAAGCTTTCCGCGCGCTTACCCGCAAGGTCTTCTTTCCCATCATCCTCCAACCTCGAACCACTTTAGAAGCTCAGCATTATACTCCTCAAACCCACCAACAAGATCCTCCGCAGATATATTCGGTGGCTGCAGCAGTGTAGCATAGAAGCGGGCTAGACAGTCCGCAAAACCGGCGCTCGACACGAACCACTCTCCGCGCTTCTTAGACTCATCCACAAACAGACCCAGCTGACGATGCGCAGTCATAGCCGGCAAGGACTCCTTCCAAGAAACCGATCTCAAAGCCTGTTTATAAGCCTGCCAGTCCGCACCAGCCTTGCCCTCATACTTGGTAGTCTCTCTGAATTCTCTTAGCTTTCCGTGGATTTCGTGCCATAGCTGCATCGCTTCGTAAGCCTTGCTAAAGGCAGGGCCTAATGTCATCTTCATTCTTTCGTACGTCTTTGGCGTGTATATGTTGTTTACATATGGCTGGAGCTTGGACAGAGTGGAGTGTTGCGGGTTTGGGATCTGGAGCACTTCGACTAGCTCGTCGAAGGCGAGGTTTTGGAGGTGTTTTTCCTTTTCTGAGGTGAGGTTCTCGGAAGAATCTTGGTCATCGCCGGCATGTGTTGGTTCATGGGCTGGTTTCTCCTTTTCTGCGTTGAGGTCCTTGAGAGGTTTTTGATCACCGCAAGCATGTGCTGGGTCATGGGCCGGTATCTCCTCCTCTTGTTCTGGGACTGGAAGCGTGTGTACGTAGTCTAAACTCGTATGCTTGCCGAGATCGTCATAGCTGACTTCCGCATTGGAGTGAGGTGAGATGGGGCTGATAGAGGGTTGCTTAAGGAGCTCTAGACATGTATTTGTGAAATCCTCTTCCTCTGGTGTCGGTGTGACTGAACCGATGGGCAAAATTGCTTGTTGCGTCTTCAGCTTCCCATGTCTCGTCTTCTTCTGCGGGGCTTCGGCCCGCTTATCCCATATACTCGAGGAAAGTTCCGTGTTGGGGTTCCAATCCGATGCAGAATCATCGCTATCAGATTCTCCTACATCGCTATGGGCAGCCATGGGAGTGGACGAGTAAGATATGGCCATGCTCTCGTCCAGAGGGGCTCTGGCAGAGCGCATGGCCAAGGCAGAGGAAGCTTTCTCTTGTCTCGCTTTCGCTGCCCTGCGTTCCTTAGCTATCCTATGTACAACCGAAAAGGCGACGCGTTTTCCAATGATACATCTCAACAATGTCTCGATACTAAACTTGTCAGCTTACGTCTTCCCCGGATACAAGAATCCTACGTCGCTTTATCTTTCGGCTGGCTAATTCGGAGCTCGTTGTGGGCCTTTCTGCAGCCATCGTCCCCCCATATGAATCCGTACCGCGTTATCAAGCTTTGAGCGTCTTGCTTGAAGCAGCTGGGCTTTGTGAACTCCAATCGTATGTCCGGACAGTCGGCTAGCAATTTGATATGAGCCGCCCCCGCTTCCGAGATATCTGTATACAGTTGATGTATGTCGTCGCTTTGAAAGGAATGGGAATAATTATTGGTCCTAATCCCTTCACCATCGGCAATCAAACCCAGAGCTTCCAGATACTCTTTCAGTGCCCTCCTTTCCCTGAGACAATCGAGGAGCGGATTTACCCCATGTTTTTCCAGCTCCCCTGTAACCCGTATCGTACCTCCTCTACACTTTCTCTTTGCGGCGCACGGCATTGTAGATGGCATAGGGGGTTTTTACGATCCGCATTGGAAAGGCCTCGGACCTATTGCTGATAAGATAAGACGCTAAACCTAAGAGGGCATAGAGGGGAAGCAGAAGACTGGGATCCCTCATCCTATCTGAGTCTCTATTCAACAAACGTATTAGCGAAATGTCTACGAAACTAGGACTGTAGAGTGCGTAATTCTCTACAATGCTATGTCTTGCTGCTTTTTTAGGTCTTTTTTTGTTGTCACGCGACATGAGAGTAAAATTTGTGCGATTTGGGTGTTCTTCGAGCCGACCTTGGAAGATGGCAGACAGAAGCACCATAATGAACAACACCCGTTAGATGACGAGAAGAGTCGCGAACGGAGGGCTTATTTGAAGCAGCGATAAAACGACGAAACAACTAAAAGAATAGTCTAGAAAACGTATGCTAGAGGGCTGTTATATGAGCGAACGCAATACCCTCCCTCTCTGAATGCACGTAACACATGCGCTGCTGAAGAAAGCTGGGTATAGCTCCTCAACTCCTTGGGTTATGCTCTCTCGTGTACGTCTCGCCATGTTCATGTTACCTGTATAGGTAGACGCGCTATCGATCCAGTTCAGCGCCAGTAGACCGTCGGAGACATCTATGGAAGGTAGGATGAGGCATGTCTCCACTAGGTATGTCAAGGTACGAGTGCCTTATGTGGATGTGTGAATGAAGAAAGACTCACGACCTTGCGTGCTTGCTCATCGATGTCTGACGTTCCGGAGCTAGCTGGCCACGAGGAAAACAAGTCCGCCACAATCCACCCAATCACCACGCAGTACCTGACTACTCCGCACTCCAGGCCCTCGATTTTCCTCCACATTCCGCGTCGGCGCTGTTCCGCCCTCCCGCGTCAAGATGCCGACGCAACCCATACTAGAGCTTCCCGAGGCTGCGACGATGCCTGGGTATACAGATATCCGGGAGCGCTCCAATTCTCCCCACAGTGATTCCTCATATACACCTCAACAGTCTGTGAGTTGAGCGCGCGCTGCATAGCATATTTTGGAAATCTGGAAGTTTGTATACTTGCGCAAAGCCCAGTCCAACATGCCGTCAATATCCCTCACACTGCGCACTGCGCGCACGTTTTCGCGAAGCACAACAAAAGTACTCGCATACTTCCCGATGGCTCGTAAGCATCTACTGACATCACCAGACATACCTCAACCTCTCGCGCTCCTTCTCATCGTCCCTGCGCCGCAATGAGATCAACAAGGTCTACCCCAGTGCCGCAGCCGCTATCGAAGACATGGCCTCTGACAGTACGCTACTATGCGGAGGCTTCGGACTTTCAGGCGTCCCAGACACGCTCATCCACCAAGTAAAGAGCACACCACACATCACAGGCCTAACCGCTGTATCCAACAATGCCGGCATCGTTGGAGGAGGCCTCGGCCTACTACTGGAAAGCAAGCAAGTCAAGAAGATGATTGCCAGCTACGTAGGCGAGAACAAAGTGCTCGAGCAAATGTACCTCACCGGCGAGCTAGAGCTCGAACTCACACCCCAGGGCACCCTCGCCGAGCGATGTAGAGCAGGCGGCGCTGGCATCCCAGCCTTCTACACACCCGCCGCCTTCGGTACCGTCGTACAGACCGGCGAACTAGCCCTCAAGCACAACAGCGACGGCAGCGTAGCCCAATACTCCACACCGCGCGACGTCAAAGTCTTCGCAGGCAAGAGCTACGTAATGGAAGAAAGCATCAAAGGCGACTACGCCTTCATCAAAGCCTACAAAGCCGACCGCCTAGGCAACGTACAGTTCCGCTTCTCTGCCCAAAACTTCAACGGCGCCATGGCCCGCAACGCAACCACCACAATCGTAGAAGCAGAACACATCGTCGAGCCCGGCGAGATCCCTCCCAATGCCGTCCACGTCCCCGGCATCTACATCGACCGCGTAATCCAATCGACGGCGGAAAAGAAGATCGAAAAAGTCGTCAACGCAAAAGACCCCCAGGAAGCCGTCTCCGCTCTCGGCGCCGGCGACGCAGCCTCGAAACGCGAACGCATCGTGCGCCGCGCCGCGAAGGAGTTCAAAAACGGCATGTACGCCAACCTAGGCATCGGCATGCCCATGCTAGCCCCTTCCTTCGTAGACCCCTCCGTTGAAGTCCAACTTCAGTCCGAAAACGGCATTCTCGGTCTAGGTCCCTACCCGCAAAAGGGCCTCGAAGACCCTGACCTCATCAACGCTGGCAAGGAAACTGTTACTCTTCTCCCCGGCGCGTCCTGCTTTGGCTCCGAAGAGAGTTTCGGTATGATTCGTGCGGGCAAGATTGATCTGACTATCCTTGGTGCTATGCAAGTGTCCGCTAGAGGTGACCTGGCCAACTGGATGTTGCCCGGTAAGGTCAAGGGATTTGGCGGTGCGATGGATTTGGTCAGTAATCCGGAGAAGACGAAGGTGGTTGTTACCATGGAACATACGGATAAGAAGGGGAGGCCCAAGATTCTGAAGCAGTGCGAGTTCCCGCTTACGGGTAAGGCCTGTGTGAGCAGGATTATTACGGATTTGGTGAGTACCCCCTCTTTTCCTTTTCGAGTTATATGGATTGGAGACTAACGATTGGTGTAGTGCGTGTTTGATGTCGACTTTACAGAGGGCTTGACGCTCATTGAGCTTGCGGATGGTGTGACCGTAGATGAGGTGCGGTCGAAGACTGGTGCGGACTTTAAAGAGGCAGCGCAGATCAAGCCGATGTTGTAGGAGACATATAGTCTTCACACTCGCACAAAATACCAATGTTACTTTTCTGCACAGATGATGCACCTCTATTCCAAAACCCCAATCCCGCTATGAGACAAGTACACAAACTAAGCCTATTGATAATGCAAACACCGCAAACCACTACGTACAACCATCCTACTCCGTCCTCGTCTTCAAACTGCCACTCGCCCCATCAACAGCGGGATCGTAGTCGCTTCCAGCCTTTAAACTCTTACTCCTTGACGGTACCATCGTAGGATTAGCCTCCTTCAACGGATCCACCTCAGCAGCCTCAATATCACTGTCCTCGCCATCAATACCCGCCTCACGCCTCCGTCTCTGGCGCTCCAACCACTCCTCGTCGTCCTCATCCTCGCTATCATCCTCACCAACAACACCATACCTGCCCTCACTACCGCTACCACTACCATGTTCAGGATCCTTGATAAAGTTATCAATGATCCAGTACTGCAGCGCATTCATAATCAACGGGAAAATGAACATGACGAAAGTGATTTGCAGGGCAGTGTTTCCTTCTGTCCAGCGCAGTGCCCAGTCTCCTACCCATGCGATCCAGGGGAGGAAAGCGAAGATGGCGAGAACGCAGAGTTTCATGCCGATGAGGCCGAGGAAGTAGATTATGGATTGCTTGAGCCACCAGGTTGCGCGGGGTGGTTGGCCGTAGTTGCCGCTGCGGATGGACTCTGGGGGGTTGGCTAGCGGGGTTTTGGCGAATGCGGCGTGGAGGACTTTGAGGAGGAGCACGAGGATTGGGATACCGATCGTGGTCTGGGGTCGTTAGTTGCTGATTGCAGATGTTCGTGGGAATGAACTTACGTCGATGGCCAGGTTGAGGAGGTAGAACGAGCACGGGTTCGGCTGGTCACCCTCCTCGTTGGTTCCAGCATACTTGGTCGTCGCGCTGGTTGTCGCTGCGACGTCGAATTTGCCGGAAGACAGCATAGACATCAGGACGTTGGCCAGATGCAACAGAACCGAGCCAAAGACCTGCTTGGAGACATCGAAGAACCAGATCTTTATGGGCCTTCGCGGAGACTCCCTCAGCCTCTTGATTGCAAGAGAGGATACGGCGAGTAGTCCAAGGAAACCTTGTACAATCAGTGCAAAGTTTCCAAGGAGGTTGCACTCGCCCTTGTCGCTCTCGCCATCCATCGGGTTTCCTTGTGCGGCTACAGCTTTGCTAGGCTCGGCGGCTGGTACTGCTGTCTTCTCAGGCTTAGTCTCTGCCGGAGTAGCTTCAGACGAGGGTGTAGATGTCGGTCTGGGTACGTTTTCGGGCGCGGCTTCTTCGTCGTTGGCATTGACGTTGTCCTCCGTAATACCAGTCGGTGTCGGTGTCGGTGTCGCAGGGGCAGCTTTCGAAGGCTCAACAGGTTTCGCAGGTTCCTTTTCCACGCCGTCGATGCCCATAAGCTCGGTCTCAAAAACTGCACGCACCATTAGCCAGACCCAAACTCTCCGCATAAAGCAAACATACCCAGCGTTGATCCCGCAGGAATCTTATCACCCATAGCGTGATTCCCATACGCCAGCCCAGGCGGGATGACCAACTTCCTGGCCTCTCCAATACACATATCCAGCAGACCCTGATCCCAGCCCTTGATCACCTGGCCCTTGCCAATCGTG